TCCAAATTCAAATAAAAATATGTTACATGGTGCATCGGTTCGTTCCCACAAATCGGTGTAGTCTGGCCCTGTTAACGCAATGATTTATATTTAAACCTATTTAATTTTGGGTACTATGGTTCAATTACCGATCGGTTTTTATTTTTATGTCGGCATGCAATCGACAAAACGCATAGTGTGATAATATGAACCTTAGGCATACGATTTTAGTACTCCAACGGTGGCGCGTTTTGCTCGCCGATATAGCGTATATAGTATGAACTTAACCTAAAAATATTAACGGAGTTTTAAACTTGAACACGTCTTATTTTATATTAATTTCGTTTTCAAATAACTTGCATAATAACTATATATTATTTTGATGTTGAGGTAACTTATTTTTAACATATTGTTGTATAATATTGTTACAACTATCTTAAAGAAATATTGTCAACTCGTTTTAATTATGTATTTTATAAAAATATTTGTTTTACATAAAAAAAAAACATTGTACCAATAATTGAACCAACATGTCAAAATAATTCTAGAAACATATTTTCGAAATATGATATGAATATTTTTGAACAATATTTTGCTCAAACATGTAAAAAACATATTGCACCAATGTGTAAGTTAGTAATATTGTAAGTAACATATGTGTTAAATATTGAATATGTTTAAATTGCTATGTGGGTGGGTATTAATAACTTACTATGAACAAGTTCTAGGTATTTTATGTATATCGTCGATATGTCTCTGTAATGATTTGGTTCTAGCGAAATTTTTGTTACATATATGGCAACAGTTTTCACCCTATTGGTTTGTAAAATTATTTTTTGTACTATTTTTTGGGTTCCAGAGGGCGCTGTGCGTTTTTTTAAAAATATGGGTAGGAGGCAKTCGTCCGAAAAATGAKAAGAGCATCAGTGATAACGGAGAATTGATAATAACGTGCACGGATCAGGGTGGTTTTGATCCGCTTGTTTGCATATTGCATAGGGCAGAGCGTAAGCTATTCTTAAATTATATTATATTATTATTGTGAATTACGGTGGGTTCATTGAAGTGCTTTTGATACATTTTTCTAGCCACTATTAGATACTTACAATAATTGTTAGGGCAGTCCCGCCGCAAGTGGCCAAACGCCCTGCACAAATGGCAAATCAACGGAGGCCGTCCTCGTGCCCTCCMGCGTCCACGAAAAATATTTTCAGCTGGTCGTGCGGCCTGGGTCTGCGTCATAGCTAGTTGAACTATTTAAATAATAATAGTATACGAATGTGTTATATACTGCTTCTAAACCAATATTAATATTATATAGGTAACTTACTTTTTTAAATATGTATTGTTATTATTGAAACTAACCAACTGAAACAATTGACCTATTACCTAAGGGCCTCAGTATAAACTGTTGTGGACGGTGATGTGGACGTGTGTTCACCAGGTTCACCGCGTCCACGGTAGAAGTTGCCACCACCACGGTGGGCTCACCACCACGACCACGCATCAGCCCACCACGCTGCTTATTTGTAAATCATTTAATCGATCCCGCAACTGGAGCAACGAATTGGCCAGAGATTGGAGGGTAGGTTCATAGAATAATGATAATATAGAACGGCAACTCGCACCGTCGCAGCTGGTGCACTACCGAAGCGCTACGGGTGTTGCGATTATGAATTATATTCTGATATGGGCGACCAGGGCACTGTGCGCTAAAAATGCTTATTGCTTCTCGAACAATTCAATTTTTTTTAAAGAATGAATATAAAGAGACTAAAAGGTCTTCTCTTTTAAATTATATATTATGTGTCTGATACTTACTACTTAGTATACACATCTATATTTTAATAGGTATCTAAAACGAAAAATAGTATCAAGAGACAATAAGTAGGTATGTATGATAAAAATTAAAAACAGTACTATTGAAAAATAAATATAACAACATAAATACATTTACATATTTTATTAATTATCAACATTTACTTAACATTATTAAAAAACAAGGTAGGTAGGTATATTAAACATTTAGGTAATCAATAAACAATAAAATAGGTAGGTACATTATACATTTACGAAATGAGTAAACAATAAAATAGGAACATAATATATATAATATTATTAGTGTAAATAAATATAATTATATAAAAAAAAATAACATATTTATCTTATTAACCCATCATGATAGTTTTTAAAAATCAAATACATATCATATCATAATAATTCAACTGTTTATAATAATTTTAAATAATAAATTAAAAATATTGATAATATTTTGTTATACCTTATAAACATATTTAAAATTAGTAAAGAGTAAGATTTAGTTAAATTAGTTAAAGTAAATTTTTTATACAAGGCATTAGTCGCGTGTGAGCGGTTAAGGGGATTGGTGGCAGTGATTTTCTGTATTTGTCTAACAAACGCACAACATAAGAATTTAAATGTGTTTTTTGTAAATCGTACCTATTGATATAGTGAACCTTTAATATTATATCTCAAAACAGATTTGAGATTGTCATCAAGTCTACTTGAGATCGGTCAGTCTTTAGGGAATAATATCAAATGTGTAGACTGGCCAATCTTAAGTTGACTTGACGAAAAATTCAAATCGCTGCAACCACGTGTTAAAATCCTCGTCATTCTGTGGAAAGACATGTTTTCGCACTTTACTTTTACAGCCCAAAACACTGCAGTTAGATGACGGCATTGCGGTTTTAAAGTATAGTTTCAAGTTAAACACTGAACGACAAAATTGAAAATACTTTAAAAATGGAAAGCATAAGCACTTGAAAACGTGATATTCACAATTCGCATTCGAAATTCGCGTTTTCGAAATATTTTGTTTGTGATAATTTACTATCACGATTTTATGGAACATGGCTCCCGAGACGCTCCCGGTGTTACGATGTTATACTATTTTACAGTACCATAATGCTATCGAGTGTATACGAGTGCATACCCCCTGGGTAGGTTTGTGGTAGAACAAAACCTTTGTGACGAGGTAAAAAACATAAATGTTTCCTCCCTCGTCACTCGGATTTAATTCCGCCACACCACCTACCCGGACCTTTGGCCCATCAGGGTTCCGAGGGCTCCGTACTTCACCCTGCAATTAAAATAAAATAAAATAATTTTGTTAATATTAAATTAATTCCCTATTTATTTGATAATTTTACAACACATTTGTAGTAGTAACTATTATATAGATATAGGAGTTCCCCAGTTTTGTTTTATTATTTTAAATATTGCTTATTATACAGAGCTTATGCATTTATTGTATCAGCAAATTACAAAATGTTTAAAACACATCAGATAAATATATAAATTAAAAATTATGTTTGAGTGCAGTGTTGAGAATAGTTAACGAAAATTTCATGGATATTCATATTAACATGCTGAATTTCAGAACATTCGTCATATTTACTATCTGAATTTCCACCAATTGTATTAGAATCTGAGTCACTGGATAAATTACCAATATTGTAATTATTTGATTTTTCACAAAATGTGGTAGAAAATTTCCTAAACGCTTTACCAAAATTACTTGCGTTGTCAGTTATGATATGTGTTATTTTTGTCATTTTTGAAGTATTTATTTGATACGTTTGAGTTATTTCATTGATAACCTCAGCAATGTTTAAATAATTATGTCTACCTTTGATTCGTTCACATCCCAAAACATAGGAATGGCGGGTATGAGAAATTTCTTCTATGAAGTGTGCTATGTACTGACGTCCCGCTAAAACACATAAAACCAACGCGTAGATGTACGTAAGTGTCCCTGGGGCGTACCATTTCGCAAACCAGTTATGTTGTGTAGGACCTCAATAGCTATGCGAAGGCCAACTTCCTAGACTTCTCGGAAATTCGGCATCGTAAAGGTTAATTCTACGAAACGCTAAATATGAAATCGTAGTATAAACGGGCACACCTAAAGAGAGGCTTAAATGTCATCTGGTTATTGAGATTACGTATCGCGAATAACCAGGATGTGGACCGACCGGTCACACGATTGTGGGAAGCTGCGATATCATAAAATTACACGCGTACACTTTTGCGCGACTCGGCCATGGACACATACTTATCTTATCGATAGGAGAGGAAGCGCAGAGAGTAGGACTATATGGTAGACCCAATTCAGACGTGAGCCACCAGAGTCAGAGCAAGCACCTTCACGCCAGACACCAGTCCAATTTAATTACCATAACCTGTTTAAACTTCGTTTTCATTGCTTCCAATAGCAGGGTGACGTTCACGAAGTCTTCCCTGAGAGTCATGATGGTAAAATCACGTTCCCAGTAGTCATTAGGGTTAATTAATTAATTCGTGAGAGACATGTCTCTGCAGATCTAGTTGAGAGAGAGTGACACGCAGAAGAGAGTAGATGGAACAATTCGAATTTCTGAATGCTTCAGAGAAGCGATAGAACAGTTCAGAAATTGATAATCCGAGGCCGAGGACGGTAGTCGCTTGACTAACGGCATAGCGGGACGGGAAGCAAATGAAATCGGTGTTTTGAGTGAGAGGGTAGACAGGTCAGATGRTAGCTTAGAGGTGAATTTGGCGGCTCGCTGAGCGCGATAGTCAGCGTCAACCTTCTTACCAACCTTGGTGCGAAACGCATCATCGTTACGGGCTCTGGAGTTTCCAAATTTAGGCTTTTGCTTAAATCTAGGCTTCTTAGCTGCAACGGGTGGGTTGGTGGAGCTATCTTGCTCCATTTCTTCTGGTTTAACCGACATGGTACAGGGGTGGTTTTCTTCCAACTGGAAAAATTGTAGAAGCAGCAAGCCTCGTTGAGGCGGATCCGGCGAAGGCTTGAACTTCCGCTAGATAAACATGAACCACTGCTGGCTGGCTAAAAACCAGCCATGTGTTGTTTCTTTCATAGGCTTATGGTTCATTTTATTTACGTGTTTTATTATTATAATTAATATTTATAATACAAAATACGAGTGTCTATATATTTAAATTTTATATTAACCGACAATATTAGGTACTTATAAACTATTAAATAAAACATAATGGAAAATAGCGGCGCTAAATTTTCACCCCGTCCAAATAAGTCAAACCAGTTCTGCTCAGTATTTGGGTGCAATTCACGATCCAGGCGAAATCCAGAATTAAGATTTCATAGTTTCCCTAATGAATGTGAACATACTAGAAGAACACAATGGGAACATAATCTTAGAATTGGAAAGAAATTAACTAATTATATGATGGTTTGTTCATTACATTTCAACCGTGAAGACTATATATTACCAGGTTTGTAAAAATTGTTTAAAAATAAGCAACTAGGTACCTAGGTACTTACAATAATTTATTATAATGTAAAAATACATATGTATATTTGTTTAGATACACATTCAACAAAACGGTATTTAAAGAAAACTGCAGTTCCTACGTGTAATCTGCCAACACTATCTACATGCAAAGTAATCAGTTCTAAAGAAAAAGAACAAAATAATTCAAGACTATTAAGGTTTGCAAAAAGAGCAAATTGTCAATTAAAATTTGAAGATTGTCAAAATGATGATATAAATATTATTCATGAAACTTTACCAAATACTCCAGTGGACGAACATCTTGATCTACCAACAACTAGTGATGTGTCAGTCCAAGTTACTAGTGGTGACATAAAACTGAACATTTTAACTTTAATGGACACTGAGCAAAAGCTAAGTACATTAACAGGTATTTCCTCTTATCAACTTCTTGATAGCTTAGTTGAAAGTATGCAACTTACAAATCTAGTTTCCAGTGGTAATCAAAATATTATTTCCCTTAAAGAAAGAATTGTAATGACATTTATGAAATTGAAACAAAATATATCCTATTCAGTTTTAGCTATATTTTTTGATTGTTCTAATGATAAATGCAAGCGAATTATATTAAATACTATTGATATTTTATCACTTATTTTGAAACCAATCATTTCTTGGTCATCTAGAACTGAAATAAAATGCAATATTCCAACATGCTTCAGAAAGTTCTCAGATACTAGAATTGTTATAGACTGCATTGAAATTCCATTAATGATACCTAAAAATTTAACTGGATCTATAATAACTTATTCACAATATAAATCAACTTACACCGCTAAATTTATGACAGGCATAACACCTAGTGGAACTTTATCTTTTATAACTCCTGCATATGGTGGCCGAACATCAGACAAATTTATATTTGAATACAGCAAACTAATTGATAAATTAGAGAATGGAGATGCAATTATGTGTGACAAGGGATTCCTTATTCACAATATTTGTGCTCAAAGGCACATAAAACTTTACAGACCACMTTTTTTGAAAGGAAATAAACAGTTGAGTAAAGATGAATCACTTATGAATGTCGATATAGCTAGCGCAAGAGTTCATATAGAGAGAGTAAACCAGAGAATAAAAGTTTTTAATGTTTTCCAAAAATATCCCTCTAGTCTACTCTCTAGATTAGATGCTTCATTTACAGTATTATGTGTAATTGTAAATTTAAGCCATCCAATTCTTGCAAATGATAAATTTGTTACCTAATTAATCAAAATACAATTTATGTTAATTAATAATTTTTGTATTATAATATTGTAAATAATTTTAACATATAATATAACATTTATTTAATGTCCAAACAGATATTATGTAACATATTATTAAAATAATTTGTTTTTAAGTTACTTAACATTTTAAAAATAAACTTACCATCCTTTAAAACTCTAATTACAAACATACTGTTATCGAAAGAACAATAGAGACAAAAAATCAGTGGAAGGTAAATTAAATAAATACATCCCCAATTGTATTAGTCCATAGTAGGGGTGACGATTTTTTAAAGTATAAATGCCTTTCACAATTGAAATATATTTACATTTTTTTAACACTTCTTTAATTCCATCTATTTYCCCAAGAAATGGACATTTTATTTCCAAAAGCTTTATTGGTTTACCAAATTCCAAATATACCTTATAAGTACCGTAGTGTTTTTATTATTGGAGTATTTTTAGGTTTATCGAAACCTAAAAATTGTAATGAATTTTTAATGCAATTTGTAATTGAACTTAAAGAACTAATAAATACTGGAATCAGACTTAGCAATAAATATATCACTGTAAATTTATATGCTTTAATATGTGATGCACCGGAAAAATCTTTTATTTTAAACTTTAAAGGCCATAATGGAAAAAATTCTTGTTTACGCTGTTTGTGCATTGGAGAACGAAAAGATAGCCGAACATATTTTAGTAATAAAGATGCTCCATTACGCACACACGCTAGTTTTATTACATATACAGATTGTGAATTTYATATTGGTAAAACTATAATTGATGAAATTCCACATTATTCTATCAACACCTTATGATTACATGCATTTGATTTGCATTGGAGTAGTAAAAAATTAATGATGTATTGGATAGTTTCTAAAAATAAGCACCCTATAGCATTACCTCCCAATTTAATAAACGCATTAGAAATTATGAAGAATTCCAAAGAAAATCAAATGAAAATTCTCGACAACATCCTTTAAGAGATGTTCAACGGTGGAAAGCAACTGAACTGAGGCAATTCCTTTTGTATACAAGTTATGTTGTTTTACCAAATTTAGTGAGTTCAGAAATATGTAATAAATTTATGCCTTTATCAGTTGCAATAAGAATTCTTTTAACTCCATGTAGCTGTAATGAATACATCGATTATGCTGATAAGTTACTTCGACATTTTGTAGATTATTTTATACATCTTTATGGTATACAATATGTATCACATAATATTCATGCTACAATACATCTAGCAGATGATACAAAACGATTTGGATCCTTAGAAAACATCTCAGTATTCCCATTTGAAAATTTCATGCAAGTATTAAAGAAAGATGTTCGCAGCGGACATAAAGTCTTACAACAATTAATACATAGATATTCTGAACGTAGAGCATTACAATTCAAACGTTTTAAACAATGTTCAGACATAGAAGGTCCACTAAAAACATTTTGTAAGAATACAAATAGATCACTCAGGGTGGAAAACTACTAATTTTAAAATAAAACTTAACGAAGCTGATAATTGTGTTAAATTAAAAAATGGTAAAATCATCCTAATTAAAAATATTGCAACTTCTAGTACTATTAATAAGTTGTAATAATAGGACGTTCATACGAAAAACTTGAAGATTTATTTTTAACTCCATGTAATTCATCACTAATTGATATTTTTAAATGTTCAGTACTCGGGCACCTTAATTATTGGCCAATCAATAATATCAAAGAAAAACTTGTTCGTCTACCATTAGATCAGCGTTTCTTAAACTGTGTTCCGCGGAACCCCGGGGTTCCGCGGAGATCACTTCAGGGTTCCGCGAAGCTTAAGTCATTTTTTTCAAAATTTTCAAGAAAATTACTTAAAAATGTCTAACTAAAGAATGTTTGTATATTAAATAATAATGTATAATATGTCATATGGAATAGTCTATCTCTATRCTCTAACAGTCTAACCTCTATACTTCTATAATATATTGTGTTCTTATACTGCTTATACAGTTTTACAGTTTGTATACAGAAATAATATTTGAACGTCGTTGATAAAAATACTAATTGGTTATGACCGTCCGCGATAGCGTGAACTTAAGAGAAACGACCGTCGATAACGATAAGCATATGAGTAACATAGGTACTAGTATTATTCATAAATAATATTTGTGTGTCGTTAATAAAAATACTGATTGGTCACGGCCGTCCGCGATAGCTTGTATTTCTGAAAAACAGATAAACGAATAAAATAACGTTTCAACGTTTCAATACAACGCGACAGTCTACCGCGTGTCTTGTGACCTGTGCGTTATATTCGAGTGCGTTGTGTTATAATTTTATTGTTTGTCTCAAAGTTGGTTTTGTTATTTTATTTGCAATATGGAGAGATGGCTTAAAAAAGGAACTCTAAAATGTTCCTCTCAAGAACCTGAATATTTTGCGGTGAACTCAAGTCATATTGATAACCATAGTAATAATGAAAATGATACAAATGAAATCACCCCAAAATATTTTTAAAAATGTAGAAAGTATGATGAAAGTTACATATCATTAGGATTTATGAATAATAATGATAATCCTCAGTGCGTTATTTGCAGCAAAGTTCTCCCAAATAGCTCTATGGCTCCAGCTAAAATGCGTCGTCATTTAATATGTTATTACAACTTTCATCAATAAAGCCCAATATTAAGAATATTTGTAATAATAAAAAGCAATTTCACGCATCTCATTAAGTAATTATTGTTAAAGTAAAATTATATACAATTTTTATTWTTTTTATTATTTTTTTTAACATATTTTTTAATTAAGTACCTTTAACACAATATAAGTATATGAAATAATTATATTTTTTTTTTGCAAATAATCCTAACAAAAAGCTTAAAAGCTAGAAAACTAAGTAGGGGTTCCACGATAAAAGTGGACGTCAAAAAGGGTTCYACGGATAAAAAAGTTTAAGAAACGCTGCCATAGAGGAAGTAATCAAGGTGGCAGACCGCGCAAATAGCGGTCCCGTACGAAACAGAGACTTGAGTGTCCTCATCACCCTGGACGTGTGGAACGCCTTTAATACGGCACCCTGGAGGTTCATTGATGAGGAACTGAGAAAATCCGCTGTCCCCGAGTACCTAGTGCAAATCATGAGATCATACATGGATTCAAGGAAGTTAGAAATCACCGAAGATACATTTATACCAATTACATGTGCTGTCCCGCAAGGATCTGTCCTGGGCCCCACATTGTGGAATCTTTTCTATGACGGCGTGTTAAGACTCCCATTGAGAGATGGCGTTAAGTTGATCGCCTTTGCCGACGATGTGGCGGTGGTGGCAGTTGCCCATGATGCGGGGCATGTTGAACAACTCGTCAACCCCGCTCTGGACGATATAGTGGCCTGGATGACAACTAATGGTCTCAAGCTGGCACCAGAGAAAGCGGAGTGTGTCGTCTTAACAAAGAAATATTCGTTTCGTCTCCCCAATCTGTATATCCAAGGACATCAGATCTAAGTCAAAAGAGCCATTAGATATCTTGGTGTCCAACTGGACACCAGGTTATCCTTTGCTGAACATATTAGCACCGTGGCTATGGGGGCGAGAAAGGCAGCTACTGCTTTAGGGAGGCTTATGCCAAATATCGGTGGCCCCTCGCAGTCGAAGCGCAGCCTCTTGTCCAGCGTCATACACACCCATTTGCTGTACGGCGCAACAATTTAGTCGGATCGTGTGACCAGTATCAAGAAGTGTACAAACCTTCTCCAGCAAACGCAGAGGTGTGCTGCCCTAAGAGTGGCAAGGTGCTACCGCACCGTATCGGATATGGCCTCCTTGGTATTGGCTAGGATGCCCCCTGCTCAATTGGTGGCAGTAGGCAGGAAGAAGAGGGCAGATGCCAAGAGATTGGGTACGATAATCTTGGAGTCGACACACAAAGCCTCGTGGACCTCATCCCCGATGTGTCCAAATGGTGGCATCATGGTCTGCGGCAGGTGAGTTTCCACATGCCCCAGATCTTGAAGGGCCACGGCTGTTTCCAGTACTAATTGTGGTTAAGGGATAGGGTAGGGCGCACAGCCCATCATGTGCCCACTGTCCCTCGGACAATGACGACGTGGAACATTCACTATTTGTTTGTTTCTTCTGGAGTGGTGAGAGACGCGAACTGGAGCAGGCATTGGGTCGGCCGGCCCGTTCAAACGATGTGGAAGCAGCAGAGTTGCCCTCGGCCCCCTGCCACAGAAAGAGAATATGTACAATGGCGCGCAGAAATAAGGACATTTTCACTCGTATGGTGGAGAAGATCATGACACGCAAGGAGGAACTGGAGAGGGAGAGGCAACATTTAACCTTTAGTGAAGACTTGTTTTTTGTAGGCCGAAGGCCAACACAGGGCGGTTAGAGGCCCCCAGCTTCTTGTATATTGACATTATTTGTAGATTTTAGCTGTAATTGTACTTTTCTATTATGACGTGTGTATTTCATTATTTAATAAATGATGCGGACAATGGGGCAGCAATGGCTACCTACTTCCCCCCTGTTTCGCGGTTCAACCCAGAATAAAAAAAAAAAAAGGTATACGTCTTGGATTCATTGATTGCACACATGTATATATCGAAACTCCAATAATCAAATCAAAAACTTGTTTGAACCACAAAGGATTTCATTCAATAAATGTTTAAATGGTAAGTAATTCAATTATGAAGTTATAAACTACATATTAATATGAAATGGAATACGTATTAATTAATTACATTTATTGAATCAATTAAACCTAACAATTCTTACCAATGCTTATTATAGCATTTCTATTGATCTATTGTCTATTATCAATTAGTTTTATTTGATAGATGTATATAAACCTGTAAATTCAGCAATTACAGTTTTTGCTTATAAGTACTGTTTTACATAATATATCAATGCAAAGGTAAAAAATATTATGTTTAAACTTAACCCAAAAGAATATATTTATATTATTTTATATTTTTATAACAACTATTAGTTGACTCAGTGAAAACTGATTAGAAATGTATAAAGATAATTTTATTGTTGATTTTTCTTATAGATCACCGATTAGTTATTCATAATTGTAAAATGTACCAGTCTTTAATGAGCACAGTTAAAGAACACGACACGATGTAATGTGAATTCGATTTAATTTTTTATTATTATTATTATTATTATAATTATTAAAAAATGTATCTGGTTAACGATAATTGGTGTTTTAATGTTGATATTAATATTTTGTTTATATTTATGTTTAAATTATTATAACTCATAAAAATGGTTCGTAAAAACAATTTTAGTAATAATTATAATACATATTTGTAGAAGTACGGTTACAGCCCAGTTATGTCAGGATGTTCAGCAAGAAAACCTCTTATTGTGGTATTAGAGAGCAAAAGACGACAGTTTATTTAT